TTTCATCGTAGCAAATAAAAAAAACAAAAAGGCACTGCCTCTTTGGTTTTCAGCACCTCGTTTTATTTTTTTCCTTTTATTGATCTTGCATTTTTTTAAATTTATTTTTTTAATCAATAAGGCCATAAAATCAAACCAAAGAATCATTGAGAGGGAAAGTTAACTCCTCAGAGACTGGGTGGGAGAGGCTCCGTGTAGCTTCTGCCCGGAGCCCAGCCCGGCCACTGTTGTCCGGGATGCCAAGGTAATTCCTTGCTTTCTAGTGGAGGCTGTCTAGTAAGGGCCAAATCCAGAAGAGCTGAGAATAATCGAGAGAGTGGCCGTGGTTCATCCTTTGTGGCCAAAGGTCTGTGCCCAGAACAGTGCCTGGCATCCAGTACCCACATAGTAAACATTTTTGGATGAACGGTTTATTTTATACCCTTCAGAAATTCTCAATGTGTATTTTTGCTTATGTTTGAGTATATTTACCCCTTTCTCTTTGTACTTTCTGCAAATCCAGGCTATACACATGTTTCTTGGTTTCTTTTTCCTTTTGTTGTTTCTTAGTAGACTTAGCATATCTGCTTTTTAAACCACTGTATTAAATCCCATCATGTGGGCGTTCCGTGAATCAGTCAGGCCCCTTCAGCCTGTCTTCTGGTCTCTGGATGAGAGGAGGGCGGACGTGGGAAGACGTGGGAGAGCAGCAGCTGGAGGCGACTCCCGTACACGGAGCTGGGTGCAAGAGGCTCCCAGGCCGTCCTGCCATCCTCGGAGGCATGAGTGGGTGGGCCAGGGCGGCAACTCTGGAACTGACATCTCCTGCTTGTTGGCTTTGTGGCCTTCAACAAATTCGTTATTTAACCTCTTGGAGCCTTGATGTCTCTGTGGGTAAGTTGAGAGTAATACCACCGCATGGCATTAGAGGGTGGATGTAAGTTGCTTGTATAGCTCCTGTGTATGTAACAGTGCTCATGGGTATGTAATAGTACCTCATGCATATCTAATACTATCTCATGAATATGCAGGAACACCTCATGGGCATGCAGTCGTACCTCATGTATATGTAATAATACCTTATGAGTATGTAACAGTNATCTCATGAATATGCAGGAACACCTCATGGGCATGCAGTCGTACCTCATGAAATGTAATAATACCTCATGAGTATGTAACAGCATCTCATGTATATGGATGGCGTAAAACCTCATGTACATGGAACAGCACCTCATATATATGGAACAGAACCTCATGTGTATGGAATATTACTTCATGGATGTAAGATGCTGAGACTGGTACTCAGCACATGGCAGGGGCCCTATAAGTGTTAGCTGTTATTTTTCATTTCCTGAAAAATATCCAAGGTTTGACCGCTATTTAGACAAAAATACCAGGATGATTGAATTGTTTTCTTCGAGTTGTGAAATTACCTGCCTTGAGGACTGGGCTCATCATTTGCTTGGGTTAGCCTTCTGAGGAGGTCCCCAGCCTTTTCTCAAACTAGTCACATTTCTGACTGCGTTTGGCCTAGAGCTGAGTCAGGGTTCCTTCTCAGCCCAATCTTCCTGACCGTCTTCCAAGTCCGAAGATGGAGTCTGTTTCTCTAAAGCCCCTGATGGATGGGTGGGGGGAGATCATGCTGACTCTCTTTTTCACTCACAGTGGCAGGTGTGGAACATCTGGAGACAGCTGGACCCCAGCAGAGTGGGGTCAACAAGGGACCATCAGTAGGTTTTGCAGGGTGGGGTGAGGCTGTTCCACTCTTCTTACAGTAATGAGGTGTCATGTTGTGCCGGGGAGAGAGAAAGAAGCGAGCCAGCTTGGGCTTTAGGCAGAGCCATTACATTACCCCCTCTTGACAGATAAAAAACAGAGGCTCAAAGAGATTAAATGACTTGTTTGAGGACATAACACAAGTCTGGGGCAAAGACAGTCTCCTAACACCTAGTTCAGCCATACTGGCAGAAAGAGGTCAAAAGAGGGAGGTCAGAAAATATAAAGAAGACCCCACAGCGTACTTGCTTGAGGGAAGGGCCCTGTGTGCCTTCAACATCAAGGGCAGGTGGCCATCCTACTGTGAGGAATGACATTGGTGCCTAGAGGTGGCAGGTCGCAGGTCATGCATAATGGTCAGTCTGGTCAAGGGTCTCGGGCAAGATTGATGCTTGAGTTTGGTAGTCTTGCTGCATAGATCCTGGAAGGAAGTGCTGGCATCCGGGGGTTCACAAGCCTGGGCCTACTAGAAATTCCCTGGTAGGTATTCCTCACCCAGAAGGCGCCCCAAGAGCACTGAGATTAAGGGTGCCCTTGACCTCATGTGTTCAGCCTGTCACCTTGGCTCCCTTTCTGTGCAGGAGACGAGGCAGGGTGAGGCAGGTGATGGCAGAGTAGTGAGGCCTGCAGGAATTGGACTGGCCAGAAAAGCTGGTGTCGGGCTTGGCACTGGTGCTGCCACTCGCCGCGTCTGTGCAAGCTGCCTGGCCTGGTCTGGGAAGTCTCTGTGCAAGGAAGAGGGGCCGGGTGAGGTGAGGTCGATGAATCCTGACTGCAGGGTGCGGGTTCTTTTTGCTGCTCCTGCCACCTGCGTGCAGCCTCTCACGATTCTCCTGAGCGTCGGGACTGTAAGATACTCACTGGTGTAAAGGCCCCTAGGAGTGTGAAGTTTATAGATGAATCAGACCAAGCAGGACGCGCCTGGAATGGGGCTGGGGCTGGGGTCCCTGAGGACTCGTAGCTGCTTCAGATGACATCTCTGCTTTGCTTTATGCCTTTGTGAACCTTCGTCGTTGCATCTGACCAGCCAAGAACTTCATTTCTGCAGAAAGTTTCACGGTAGTTAGTTATCCAGCTTGGTGTTAGCCAGGGGTGACCTCCCTGGCTCAAGGTCACCCCTTCTGCTATGTGGCAGATGCGTACAAGGATCAGGAAGGGCCACTGGGCCCCATAGGAGGAAAGCCAGCCTTGGTTTTGCCTCATCGGCTGCAGCCCATAAATGGTCACACCAGGTGGGTGTGGCTGAGTGTGTCCAGGGACAGCAGTGAGCATCCTGCAGAGCAAGGCCCAGGTGCAGGGCACAGATCGCAGCTGTCAGGGGCAGGTCTCAGCTGCAGGGGTAGATCGGGGTGATTCTTCACTCAGTTCAGAAGCAGAGGCAGCTGGGAAGCTGATGGAATTTGTCCTGTCTGTTCTGTCTGTCCTGCTTCCCACGGCAACACTGGTTTCTTCTCCTGTTCATGCCATGTAGCCCCCACCTTGCAGCACGAGGGACCTTTCCACCACCTAATGCTTCAGGCAGAGAGAACTGCTTTTAAAAGTCCTTAAAGAGCATTAAAGAGGATCTGTTCAGATATTACAATACATAATCCCATCATCCTGGTATTGCATAATCATTTTTATGTTACTTTAAACCTGCAAATATATTTTATGTAGGGTTGTTATTGCACATTCTGTTTTTACATTTTATCATATTCCCACATGTTCCTACATAGTATTTCCTCACCATTTTTAAATTGCTGTACATATAATTTATTAGACCATCTTTCTAATGTTAGGCACTCAAGTTACTTCTGTTGACTAATATAGATATGCAATGGGGGAAACATCAATGAGTTATAAGTGTACAGCTTTTAGTTTCTTTTTAATTATTGACTTAGAGTGAATTCCTAAGGAGTTGCCAAATCAAAGGATGTGAATCTCTTTGCTGTGTTTGCTATGTACTGTAGTATTGCTTTCAGAAAATGTATGGCCTGTGGCAATGAATGAATAAATCAGTTTCATAGCAGCCTTCCCATTAGCAGATAATAGCATTTTAAAACGATTGGTTTCTTTATTAGGTATTAAATGGTAAGTTAGTGGTATATCAAAACTGCTCTGCTTTGCATTTTAAACATTTCCAATAAAAGTGAATATTTTATATTTCTTCTTCTATACATGGTATCTTCCTGTCATTTAGACAGTTATCTATAGGGGTCTTTTTTTAAATATATCTTTATTGATTTCAGAGAGAGGAAAGGTCAGGGAGAGAGATAGAAACATCAATGATGAGAAAGTCATTGATCAGCTGCCTCCTGCACACCCCCGGCTGGGGATCGAGCCCGCAACCCGGGCATGTGCCCTGACCGGGAATCGAACCTCGATCTCCTTCAACTCTCTACCCCTCAGTTTACACACCTGCAAAATGGAGTTAATAGAAGTACCCTTCCAGTAGGGTTATTATGGAGATTCAGTGACTTACTACATGTAATGCACTTACCATGCTGTGCTGCAGAGTAAGTCTTTGATAAATCACTGTTTGAGTCAGCTCGGCCGCTTTAAGAAAGCACCACAGACTGGGTGGCCAAAATTGCTCTCGTCCAGCTCTGAATGACTGGGTTCTGGTGAGGGCCCTCTTCCTGATCTGTAGACGGCAACCGTGGTGGTGGGTCTTCGGCCTTCTAGAAACTGTCTGCTTCCATAGTGTTATACTTCCCCCTCCTTCTGACCTTTGGGAAAAGGCTCCTCGTGTCCTAGTCTGGGTAAGAGGCAAGAATAAGAAGACTCAGATTTAACAGGCAGCCACTTCTCTGAGCCGGGTGGCTGGGAGCAGAGGCAAGTCACACCACTGACTCCACGGCGCCCCATGGGGTGGACACTGTCATCCCCATTTACAGAGGGCGATGCCCACAGAGGCTCGGGGCAGGGGAACACTGCTGCCCAAGGCCACACTGCTCACATTGAACCCTGAGCCCTTTGACCCCACACCCTCTCAGTGTGTAGCTGCCGCGGGGGGAGCGGAGCAGCCACGCCAGAGCAGACTCGGGGCGGGGATGGGTGCTCAGGGCACAGCCTGGGCCTTCCCGCCCTGTGTGGTCTCTCACTGGAGCTGAACAGTGAGGCTCCTCAGACCCCAAACCCCTCCACCACTGAAGGCAGCCCCCACGTCCCCTCCCGCTTCCAGGTGCCCCAGGATGGAGCCGCGCTCACGGGCAGCTGCCTTCACGGTGCTAACCCAGACTGTTTTCTCTTCTTTCCTTCCTCAGCCCCCAAAGACAATGAAGAGCGTGTGTTCAGGGAGCGCATGCGGCCCAGGAAGCGGCAGGGGGCCGTCAGGCGCAGGGTCCACCAGGTCAACGGCCACAAGTTCATGGCCACCTACCTTCGGCAGCCCACCTACTGCTCGCACTGCAGAGATTTCATCTGGTGAGGCCCTCTCTCCTGGGAACCTCTAGTTATGCCTTCTCTGGGGGGAGAAGTTGGGAGATTACCAACTTTACGTAAAAAGTGCTGATGTGCTTTGTGTCTTCTTTGTTTAATTGCAGAAGACTTTTCTGGAAGGCTAAGGGAGTGTTTGGTGCTTGGGAGAGTGAATGGAAAGAAACTATGGTTCCTGGTGACTTTATACTTAGGATCGTATCACATATCACATTTAAGGAGTTAAAATTTTATAACCAGCAATGGTATTGTGATTGTGGTTTCTTTAAAAAGAATCCTTATCCTTAGAGAGACAAACTGAATTATTTACAAGTAAAATGATATGAGTTGGGGGAAAAATATGGTGGAAGGAGGGAGGAAGGGGCTGGGATGAAGATGCAGGACCAGCCATGTATTGATCATTATGGTGATGGGTCCATAAGGGTCTATTTCCCTACTTTTATATATATTTGAATTTTTCCATAATAAAGTTAAAAAATACTCAATTGCCAATATTGCTAATACAAAGCAGTTCTTAGTGACTGTTGTAATGCTGGTGCTGCTAGGATGCTGAGATTTCAGAGTGAGAGATTAGCGTTGGCTGGAGTGCTCAGGGAAGGCTTCTTGGAGGAGGTGGCATTTCTCCTTTCATGATAACTAGGATTTTGCTAGAGATAGGTAAGTAGTAGGCCTGTTTGGGAGGTGGAGAAGGGTAAGGAGCACTGGCCCTGGGCATTGGAGGGAGACTTTTAATGAATACCTACCACGTGCCAGGTTCTCTCTCAAGCACTGGAAATATTTAATTAAACCTTCCCGGTATGCTATGAGCTATGTATTATGAACCCCATTCCCCTAACGACAATATTGAGGCTCAGAAATTAAAACAAGACTCGCCTGCAGCCCTGCAGCTGGGAAGTGTCAGAGGCTGGATTCCACCCCCGGTGAGCACAACTAAGAGCTCATGCTTTTCCTGACAGCCAGCCTTTCTGGCAGCCTCTCGGAGCTCTTTGAAGCTGTCTGGGGTTTGCCAGCGCACTTGGATCCGGTGGGGAAGAGTGGATGAGGCCAAATTGCAGCATGAGCCCAGCCGGGAAACATTTGAATTGTACTCTGGAGAACCCCTGCCTTCCCACGGGGTCCAGGGGTGGCTGTCTTATCCTGGTCGCGTTCTAGAACCTGTCGTGGAGGTTGGCATGGAGATCTGAGGTGACACAGCTCAGAGCAGACTCAGCCCAACTGAAGCAGAAACAGCACCCCACGCCCACCCACAGATGGGTCTCATTCCCAGTACTGACTCAGTCCTCCAGCCTCTGTTTTCTGTATTGTGTTCATGAATTGTGTGTTTGAGGGACTAGGCCCTGAAAGCTGAGTCTTACACATACATTCAGGGGAACACCACTGAGCTCTACACCCCCTGAGTTATAGCCCTAATGACTTCTGGCTCCCCCCACTGGGCTGGGAGGATTCAGACCAGCTGGTGCCCTGAGGACAGGGCTCAGGCCAGGTTGATTGGCTTATGTCCAGGCTTACCCTCAGCTGGCCCCAGGAGACTCTCTTCTGGCCATGAAAGGAACTTCTAATGTTGGCCTTCACCCAAAGGGTACATTGAACTCCCAGTCCTGGCCACAAGCTAACCTATAATCCTGGCCTGCTTCTGGAATGCCAGGGAATGTGCCTGCCAGCCGTAGCCATCCTCCGCGATTACCCACAAGGACAGGCACATTCAACTCTTTGAGGCCTGCAGCGAGCACTCAGTCTTTGTGGCTTTCCAGAGCACTGCTGGTCCCACTGGAACAGCTGTTTGTTAGGAAACCAAGCCCAGGCACTGACCAAACCTGGCACTCCTCCCAAGCCCTAGGGCTGCCCTCGGTGGCCTTCTGAGGAGCCTTTTTAGGGAAGCCTGCAAGTGGCAGTGAAATTACACTGCGAGGTAGATGCCAGTGTACTGGGTGCTTTGGGTGGTGACCAGAATGGGGTGGCTTTGTGTGTTTTTTGACCTGCTGAAATTTCTTACAGGGTTGTCTTCTTCTTTTCAGGGGTGTCATAGGAAAGCAGGGATACCAATGTCAAGGTAAGAGGTACTGTATGGACAAAATCCATGGGGTCCACGAGACCGTCCAGATCACTAGTGTCACCAGTGCTCATAGGAGGTGTGTGCTGGGTTTGGTGACAGTTAGAGGTCCTCATGCTCATGCCCCCTCCTGGAGGAGCAGAAGCCCGTTTTCTCTGTCACTCCCTGGCCAGTGCTCCCACATACACATACGGGAGTAGATGTATGGGATTACCTCGTAGGTACCACCGATCCCCAGGTGTCCCTGGTGTCTAGCCAGTTTGTAGGTAGCACTCCCATCTTTCCTAATGAGACACATGCTTCAATTTGAGGCCCCTGAAAGGTCGCACTGGGCGCTGGCCCAGGTTCTGTGTATTTTGCCAGCTCCCTTACTCTCTTGCTCCCTGGAGAAGCTCCCTCCCTGCTTGTTTCCCTCAGTGTCCCCGATGGTCCTTCCCCATTCTCTTTTTTGTCCCTACTCTGGAATCATTAGCTATTACACATTTAAATCTCGCTCGAAGTTATTGAAGTTTCTGTTTGCAGTTAATTGACCTCAAATATAAAGTTATGTTGTCCAGAACTGGAGGGTGGGTATGTGATGGGGTTGTGTGGAGACTTCTCTGTGGTTTGATCTGGGAGATCCTTCCATCTCCTCACTGAGCCACTGGGTAGCTTGGGTCTCACCCCTGAGGTCTTGGATAGGTTTTTTTGGACATTGCTGTGTGTGCAGTCACTGACCTCTTCAGCCCCTCGCTGCCCACACATCCCTGTGACACCAAAGACAGAGCGATGGGCCAGTTCTTGTGGAGTTAGTCAGTTAAATGGAAATTTTAAAGTTTGGCATGTAAGGACGCAACCAGATCAAAAGCTTAAGAACTTCTGCCCACAAAACATGCCCTGTCCCACTGTAGTCCTCCCTGACACAACAGCCAGCCCCGACAGCGTCCCGGGTGGAGCACAAGACGCTGTCCTGCGTCTGATAGACAGCGCTGTGGGGCAGGGAAACTGTTCCCGGCCTTGGAATATAGAAATGGGAAACTTGATCGGTGCTCCTGGAGTCAGAGAAAACTGCTCGTGCCCTTTGGATATAAGTGGTTCACTCTCTTCCAGAGCATGTAATGGCTCTGCTGGCAGGGGCTTTGAGAAGGCTGCTTAAAGGCCTTGCGGTAGGGTAATATGCATGAAGGCCCCGTGACAGGAGGGGCATGGCTCCCCTGCCCCTTCACCGAAGCCTGATTGAATCTTGGGATGGAACCTTCCTTCCCCACCTGTCGCTCAGCCTCCCCATTTTTTGCCGTTTGCAGTGTGCACTTGCGTGGTCCACAAGCGATGCCATGAGCTCATAATTACGAAGTGTGCTGGATTAAAGAAACAGGAAACTCCCGACGAGGTAAATATTTACAGCATTGAAATTCTGGGCTTTCTTCCCTGCCATCCCTGCCCTCCACTGCCTGCTCCAAAGTCCCTAAGAAAACCTTATCTCGCTGAGACCCCACTGCTTTCTTCCTCGTGCTGATCAAAAGTTAAGGGAGTTGTCCACAGCCTTCCGGCGTGAGGCACAATCTGCAGAAGGAGCAGGCCCCAGAGTCGGATTTGCGTCTGTGGCTGTTATGCCAAGGGCCGTGTGGGAATTCTTTTCTGCCATTATCTCATCGGGACAGTTAAGGGCTCACTGACATGTCCGTGGCTCCACTCGGCCCGTAAACAGTGAGAGAGACAACAGAGAAGCAGGAACCTTATCTTTACGAGGTGATGGGGGAACAGAGAGGAATTAGCAAACCCAAGAAACACTCAGGCAGCGGAAATAACCTCAATAATAATAGCTGACACCCACTGAGTACTGACCGTGCCCTGATGTAATAAGCACTTTATCATATATCATTTATTCCTATAACAACCTTAACACGATGGATGTTACCGTCTTCATTTACAACAGAGAGATGGAAGCAAAGAGAGGTCAAAGTAACTTGCCCCAAGTCGCGCAGCCAGTATGTGAAAGAGCCACATTCAGACCCAGGTCGTCTGTTCCAGAGCCTGAGCCCTTGAACCCTGCACGATGTTGTCTCTTAATCTTATAAACTAGTGTCAGATTGACTATTAGGGAAGTTGCTAAGAGTAAAGGAGCAAAAACAATTCAATAGCAAAGCTAGGTTTCTCCTAACTGACCGGGAGAAGGCTGATTGTCGGTATAGGCCTTATTTGTATTTACGGTAGCTGATTTCAAAGCCATGCTTTAATGCTCTGTGAAATAAACAAATACTGCATAATCATAGAATTGGGGGTCAGAAACAGCATCCCTGGATGGCTTATAATCAGGTGGATTTATGGTTTTGCTTCCAAAAGGACTGACTTTCAGAGAGCTGCCTGCTTCTTAAAAATAATTCAACCAAATGACTCCTTGCCATCCAAAGCACTTTCCATCTTTCCTATCCTTCGCTTTCACCCTCTCCCTGGAAAGCAGCGAGGGACAAAACTTAGATTGAGCCTCCCATGTTCCTGAAGGGCAGATAGCCCACAGCACCACAGTCCTTTGCAGGGTTTCTGCCGTCATGGGTGAAATTACAGGTCATCACCACCTGAGCCTCCTAACTCCTGTCTAGGATCATAACCCAAAGTCTGTGGTTACCCTTATTGCTTTCACAGAGAAATGAAAGAAAGAGAAGGCCTGCTTGCTGTCCGCGTTAGTCCTTCCTCTGGACATTCCACTGAGCGTTTATCGAGCACTTCCTGTGTGCCAGCTATTGTGCCATGTCCCAGGGGAACAATGGAAGACGAGATTCCTGCCCCCAAGGAGCTCATAGGTTTCATCAGCTGTGAACCTCTGCGGGTTTCTACAGCTCTTTAAACACACCTCCTTCAAGGGGAGAGTCCCAGAGGAGGCCCCGCCACGCAGGGTAGAGGATTGGGCCTGCACAGAACCCAGGTTAATCTGTGACCTGTTCTTCTGACCGTCTTTCCTGGTTTATTGAGCCGTGAAAGGAGGGCGCTAGTGAGCAGTTTGGCATATGTCCCGAGGGAGATAAATTGCGAGGGATTGAGGAAGGAGGCTTTGAGTGTCTTAGCTCATCCCGGTGCTCCCTGAGGCCTGTCTCTTTGAGTGTTGACGTATCCCTGGGCCATCGGGGTGATGGATGTGCTCTCCGCCCGGTGCACCACTGCCGGGGACCAACCTTTGAGTCAGTTCTTTTGTGTAACCACCTGTAGTGCTATGCACGTGCACATACACATCATAGGCACATATACACCCCAGACACACATCACTCTGAGCGGGTTAAGGGCATCAGGAGCAAAGGCCTTGGGGCAGCTTTCAGAGCCGAGCTAGGGCCTGCCACCTGCGAAGACCGTGCCTTCTGGAAAGAAGTTCTGTAGGAGGTCCAGTGATTAGCACTCCAGAGTGCACAGGAGTTTGGCCATGACCTTGTGTTTTGCTGTCCCTGCAGGTGGGCTCCCAGCGGTTCAGCGTCAACATGCCCCACAAGTTCAGTATCCACAACTACAAGGTCCCCACCTTCTGTGACCACTGTGGGTCCCTGCTCTGGGGCCTCTTGCGGCAGGGTCTGCAGTGCAAAGGTAAGCAGCTCCGTGCCCTGCCCTTGTCCCCCTTGCGCCCACGTGCCCCTGTTGTCGCCTCTTTTTAAAAACCTTTGTCTAGTCCTAGCTGGTTTGGCTCAGTGGTTAGAGCATCCACCCTTGGACTGAGGGAGCCCGGGTTTGATTCCGGATTGAACCTGGATTGCAGGTTCGAACCTTGGCCTCGGTCAGGCACATGTGGGAGGCAGCCAACCAATGTGTCCCTCTCACATCGATGTTTCTCTCTCTCTCTCCTTTCCACTCTCTCTGAAAAACAATGGAAAAAATATCCTCAGGCGAGGATTAAAAAAATAAAATAAAAACAAAAAAAACCCCCACAAGATATCCTTTTAAAATAAAATAAAATATAAAAACAAAAACCTTTGTCTATTCTCATAGCCTCAAAAGCAAGTTCCAGGTTTGGCAGGAGGACCGAGCACAATCCCTTGCTGAGCCCTTGTTAGTTACTCTGTGGTTTTGTGAAACAGTCTCTGTGCAGACGCCAGCCAAGCAAACTCCTCCACCGAGGGGATGCAAGGAGGAAGGCGTGACCTCCCCTTTTCAGATAGTTAACAAGCTGGGGAGACAAGATGAGCCTATAAAAGCATAGAAATAATTTAAGGAAAAGATACATTGGAGCAGAAGGGAACAAATATTTTTCGAGTCAGACACTGAAATAAGTAATAGATATTTTTCTGTCGTAACCCATGGTTCAGAGCCTACTCAAGGAAGGAGCCATGCTAGAATGCTGCTACATAAGACATTTTATTGCTGCTTCGTTTCATAGGCTGATGATGTGGGTGATATTTTCCCCATGTCCCTGGTGAGGGACTGGGGCTCAGAGACGAACTCGCTAGTGTCACACAGATTGTTAGCACAAATAGGGTTTGAACTTGGACTCTTGAGTCTGGGTTCCTTCCTCTGTTTCCCGCTGACCTGCCTGTGAATTATCTTCTACACAGATGGGCATGCTGAGGGACACGGGCACTGGGATGTAATATGCGATGGTGGGAACTTACTCTTGGAACCTAAATAGAGTGTCCAGTTCCATAAACGGGTCGAGTCCACACACAGAGCTGGACAACCATGAACTATTAGGAATATTGCATGGCTATTATTTAAAAACGGTGTTTTATTATTTGTACTGAATATATTAGTAATAAATTCCCATTGTGGAAAAATTAGAAAAAGAGGTAAAGTATAAGTAGGAAGACTAAGGCCATGAACAAATGGGTCATTGAAGGGACCTCAACGGGAAATTGTCAGGATTGGAAATAAGGCAGTGTCTTCAGTGGCGATAAAGAGGAGGCCAAGAACTTAAGCGATACCAAGGAGTTGTTTATTGGATGTGGTGACCAGGTCCAACTGGGAGGACCGTGGCACCATTTGCTGAGAGAGGGAGTGCAGGCCAGGCCACGGGGCTGGCGGGAGATGTGGTGGCGTTGAGTTGGGGACACGTTACCTTGATGTGCCTGTGGGAGACTCACGTGGAGCTATCCAAGTTCAAGATNATGTGGTGACCAGGTCCAACTGGGAGGACCGTGGCACCATTTGCTGAGAGGGAGTANGGAGTTGTTTATTGGATGTGGTGACCAGGTCCAACTGGGAGGACCGTGGCACCATTTGCTGAGAGAGGGAGTGCAGGCCAGGCCACGGGGCTGGCGGGAGATGTGGTGGCGTTGAGTTGGGGACGCATTACCTTGATGTGCCTGTGGGAGACTCACGTGGAGCTGTCCAAGTTCGAGACNGAGTGCAGGCCAGGCCACGGGGCTGGCGGGAGATGTGGTGGCGTTGAGTTGGGGACACGTTACCTTGATGTGCCTGTGGGAGACTCACGTGGAGCTATCCAAGTTCAAGATATTCTCATTGAAATTCGGGGGAGAGGTTTACACTGAGCATTTTGATTTGGGATTTGTCAGTGTCTAAGTAGTCTTTAGAGCTATGGCGTAGATGTCATCCCCAGGAGAAGTACCTTGGGTGTGAAGAGAGAAGCTAGCACCTTGGGGTTCAGGGGGAAGAGGGTTCTCAGTATCCAAGGGTGAGCCTGCAAAAGCGACAGGGGAAGGACCTCAGAGAGACAGCATTGTGGAAGCCCAAGGAGAAGAGGGCATTAAAAACATTAAGAAGGAAGCAGTGGGCGGTGCCGAGTGCTTCCAAGAGGTCGTTTAAGGTGAGAAGTGAAACGCGGGGTTGGGTTTAACAACGAAGAGGCCACTGTTGACTTCAGCAGGAGCTGTGCTGATGGGATGGTGGAGATGGGAGCCCAAGTGCTGAGGCTGAGTAGAGGATGGAAGGTGTAGTCTTTTCAGAATGTCCTATATAATTAGGAAAAAAACAGTGGGGAAGGAGAGACGAATGAGCCAGGAGGGAGAGGAGACCATCCATGCAGCAGGGGCAGAGGAGGGGTGAGCCTTGGGGGGAAGGTGGGGCCCCTCCTCCCAGGTGGAGGGAAAGCCTCAGGAGGCGCCTGGCTGCAGACAGGTTTGCTGCGCCCGGGATGGGAGCCCAGGAGGAGGGGAGGGGCCAAAGTGGTCATCAAAGTTCTGAATCTGTTGAGGGCATTGCGATAAGAGTTTCCTTATTTTCTGAAATAAATCCCTTTTGAAGTTGAGGTGAGAAGAAGGGGTGTGGAAGGCATGGGGAAGGTGGCGAAGGGTGGAGATGGCCGTGGTGGAAACTGAGGACGGTCTAACCCCGACAGGAGGAAGAGCTGACCGTGGGCACATCTGGTGTCCTGTGTGAGGTTCCCTGACATTCACGTCTCCCTTTCTAGTATTCCAGCACCCAACCCTGAAAGAAACAGCCTGCCAGAATCCTGTTTAACATTAAATGATGAAAACAAAGGACGAGTAAGAAAATAATGGAGCAGGAATCCTAAATATTTTTAGCAGAGGAGTGCTGAATTTTTGGAGAGTTAAGTAGAGTTGCTGGGAAGCCGAGCCTGCTTTGGATGGGACTCAGATGAGGCCATGTCTGGGTTTTAGTAAATATATTAATAATGGATCTATCTAGGGAATTCAAATGAAGATACCATCATCTCATAAATATTGATATTTTAAGAAAACAACCCAGACACCCAGGTCGCTGCTAGGCTGTGGGTCCCTGGATGACCCTAGAAGAAGACAGGGCCCAGCGACGATGTAGCCACCCTTACACTATCTCATATAAAGCAGTTTCACTGTCCCCACGTCCCATGTGCTTACTCCTCTCTTTTGGTTCTTTCTCAACCTCAAGTCTCTTTGCCCCTGCAGGCATCTTACCTGTGGAGAGGGTCATGACCAGAAGAGGCCAGCGTGGACCAGAGCAGGGGCCCCTGTCACCCAGGTCTAAGAAATATAAATCAAGACTTGGTGACCCCCATCTGAGGGATGCCGGGTGGCAGGCAGCTGGCCAGTTGTAGTCTGGAAAGCTTTGAATGACATTTCCAATGTGACCAGGACTCCCAATTCCCTACCTGGTGACAATTGGTGCCCCGCGTGACCCTATGGAGCTGCCCCTCTAACCTCCCTTTCTCTGCCCAGGACTGTGCACTCAGTCACTCTTCCAACTTCCCTCACACAGTTACACAATTTCCTGGTCCCAGTTGTTTGTTCTCTGTCTCCAAGAATGACATGGCTGACTATAACCTGTTGTGAAATCAAACTATTGCCCCGGCTCACCCCGAAGGGCCAAGTCGCCCAACACAAAGACATTGCTGCGGGCACACACAGGCCTGCTAGCCTCTCAGGCGCGGCTCTGTCATTGTTCTCAGAACCCCGTCCGCTTGCTTTGGAAGAATTCCCAGCAGGCTGACCCTCCTCATTGCAATCCTAGCTTCAATCAGCTATGAAAAGGGTGGAAACATGGAAACCAAGAGAAAGGCCGGTGGGCCTGAGCCCCCGACTGTGCTGAGGACGAGGCTGCTGCTGCAGCACCCCCCAGCACATAGTAGGAGCTCAATAAACATGTGATGAAAAGTTGGGTAGTGGAAGAATAATGATTCTCCTTTCGAAAGAGCCCTAGCAAGGCTGCTGTGGTTCTTCCCAGCAGTCGTCGTGCAAAACCAGCTGAAAGTGAACCATGAGAGGCCGCCTGGAAAGAGGAGACTTCAGGGCAACCCGGGGTTCGCGTGGCAGCCGGCCGTGGGGATGGGTGATGACGGTGGGAACTGGGAGGGTTTCTTCGGCCCACATTATTGTAAGTGAACCTCGGGTTTCTTTTGGTTCCAACTGGCACGTCCACTTTCTTCTGCTGGTCTGCAGCCTCCAGGTGTCGCCCTCCTGCCTGCGGAAGTCACGCTGTGGCTGCCTGAGTTATCTCAAGTTCCCCATCCTCGGCCAGCTTTGCCCTCTTATTCCCAGACTTTTGAAAAGCACTTTCAAAGTCAGTCTCATGTCGTCCATTTTAACTGACATGTCATTGGGCTTTTAAAAAATATGTTTTCATTGATTTCAGAGAGAAGAAGAGGGGGGGGAGGGGGAGAGAGAGAGAGAGAGAGAAACATCAATGAGAGAAAAACATTGATCGGCTGCCTCCTGCACACCCCCTCCCGGGGATGTAGCCCCCAGCCTGGGAATGTGCCCTGACCGGGAATTGGAATCGAGCCGGCAGCCTCCTGGTGTATGAGAAGGTGCTCAACCAACTGAGCCACACCAGCTGGGTGGGATTTTTTTTTTTTTTTACATATTAAGACAACTATGCAGCTCGTCCAGGGAAATAACAGTTTTTAGAAATAAAAAACCAAGTCTGTAAAGACCATTTCCATCGTGCGGACCTGCCAACCCAAGCTGATTGTTTTGTTGGGACAGACAGCAGAGGGCGCCATTGGTTAAGTTATGACACAAGCTGCCTTCCTGAGAAATTCGCCCAGCGGCCTAATGAAAGAAAGAATAGGATGGGGGGGGGGCAGGCGCAGGTGCAGCGAACTGAGTGTCAAAGGGTAGCTGTTGCTGAGGAGCGTAGGGTAGAGAATTCAGAACCCAGTGCTGTTGCCTGGAGTCCTTGCCGGGTCTGTGGATTTGCAGATTCCATTAGTAATAGCCAGGTAATGGAGTCAGCTCCATGGCCAGGCTGTGGTGCAGCTTTCTTGTTTGTTTATATTTTCTGAAGCCCCCTCCCACCAGCACCCCCAGCCCCTGCCCCTGCCCGTGGTTCTGTTGAACTCTTCAAGCCTGGGTTGGGTGCCGGAGGCGGTGTCTGAGCTGTTTCTCCCTCCAGGCCAGTGACCAAGCCATGCAGGACCAGCAGGCGGGCTGGCCATCCTGCCTGGCTTCATTCCAGAAACAGATGTGTGTATGAATAGACTGGTTTTAGAGCAGTTTTGTTTCACAGCAGAATGGAAGGGAAGGCATAGAAATGTCCCCCTGTACCCTCCAGCCCCCCACACAGACAGCCTCCCCGCCAGCAGCATCCCCACTAGGGCGGTGCATTCGTTACACTGACACGTCCTTATCACTCAGCTTACACTGGGGCTCACTGTCGTGCATTTCATGAGTGTGGACAAATGTATCATGACGACCACCATTATAGTGTCATACAGAGAGTTTCACTGCCCTCCAGTCCTCTGTGCTCTGCCCGTTGTTCCCTGCCTCCTCCCTAACCCCTAGCGACCACTGGTCCTGTTACTGTCTCTATAGTTTTACAGAATGTCATATAATGGGGATCACAGACTATATAAGTTATATCAGTTTCTTTCACTTAGTAATATGCATTTAAAATTCCCTCACCTTTTCGTGGTTTAACAGCTAACTTATTTTTAGTGCTGAATGATATTCCACTGTATGAATGCACCACCGTGTATTCATTCACCTACTGAAGGACATCTAGGTTGCTTACGAGTTTTGGCAATTATGAATAAAACTGCTGCAAACGTCCCTGTGCAGGTTTTTGTGTGGAAATAAGTTTTCATGCTAAGAGTGTGTTTCGTTTCATATGAAACTACCAAGCTGTCTTCCAAAGTGACTGCGCCCTTTAAGCCCTTTGTCATCCCTGATAACTTCCCTTGCTCCGAAGCCCTCGCTGTCTGGAATTAATATAGCTACTCCTGCTTTTTAAAAAATTGGTGTTAGCGTGGTATATGTTTCTTCATGCCTTTAATTTTAATCTATATATGTTTTACAATTCAAGTGCATTTCTTGTAGACAACATAGAGTTGAGTGTTTTTTTTAAATGTTTTATTGATTTTTTAGAGAGAGAAGAAGGGAAAGGGAGAGAGAGAGAAACATCAATGTGGTTCGGTGCCTGACATTAATTCAAGGACATTCTCAGTCATTTTTGCCTCACATATTTCTTCTGTTCCTTTCTCTCCTTCTCCTCTCGGTATTCCCACGACACATGTTATGCCTTTTGTAGTTGTCCCATAGTTCCTAGATATTCTGTTCTGTTTTTTCAGGGCTTTTTTCTCTTTTCTGTTTGGAAGTTCCTATTGACATATCTTCAAGTTCAGACGTTCTTTCCTCAGCTATGTCCATTCTAGTGGCCCACCCACCCGGGGCGTTCTTCTATCTGCTACAGTGTTTCGACCTCTAGCATTTCCTTTTGATTCTTTCTTAGAATTTCAACCTCTTGCTCACATTGCCCATTGTTTTTACATGCTGTCTACCTAGTGGTCAGAGCCCGCAGCATATTGACTGTAGTTGTTTTAAATTCCTAGTCTGATCACCCCAGCATCCCTGCCATGCCTGGTTCTGGTTCTGATGTTTGATCTGTCTCTTCAAATCATGGTTTTTGCCTTTTTTAGCGTATGCCTTGTAATTTTTTCTTGATAGCCAGACACGATGTGCTGGTTATTAGGCGCTGCAGTAAGTAGGCCTTTAGCAATGCGGTGGTTGGATGTGGGGAAGGGAAGGCTCTGTGGTCCTGTGATTAGATCCTGTGCCTCTGGACTGTGAACTCCGTAAGTTCAGGTTTTCCTACCCTCGTAGGTGGGACAGGACTGCTAGAGCAGGCTGGTTTGGGGTATTTTCCTTCCCCCAATAGTTTAGGCTCTGGAGTACCCTGGAGTGTTTCAAATAGTTTCTTTTTTTCTCCTGCCAGAAGCATATGGGGATTCCACCCCCACCACCCCACCTAACCGCTGCCCCCAGTATTCACTATTCGAATCTGGTCGAACTCCTAGAGGTAAAACTCACAAAAGTGCAGAGCCCCTGGGGGCCCTAGGGTTTTTGACCCTCAGACTTGTCCTCTCTGAGACTCCAGCGATTTGGCAGCGTCAGTTCAGATTTTCAGTTCAGAACAACCCCCGGCGGTGGTTCCTGCAGGGTTGCCGCGGGGAGTTTCTGTTCTGATTCCCTGTAGTGACCTCTCTCTCCCATTTGGGGGGCAGCGCTTTGCCCTGTGACCTTCTCTGATCAATCCTAGAAAAGTTGATTTTGCAATTTGTTCAGCTTTTTACTTGTTAGTGCAGAGCAGCTACTTCCAAGCTGGACTGGAAACCAGAAGGGTTTGTTTTCTCCTTTGATGTCCGAGACAAGGACAACTAAGGGATGTGGGCGTGATGAAGACATTCCAGTGTGGCCTTTGTGCCGATGAAACTGGATTTTAGATTTGAAAGGCGCCTTGGAGGTCACCTCATTCAGTCTCCTCATTTTCAGCCAAGCACCTTAATAGGCTCTAACCGGAGCATTCCTCTCGGGGTAATATTGCTCCTCTCAGCGTAATAGGGTGGACTGTGGACATGCCACCCCTTTGGGTTCACAATCCACATGAACTTTGCGTCAGATAAACCAATTAAGTTCTTCTACAGTCAGTGTTCTAGTCCCTGGAAGGAAATGTAAATGTGACATTTATTTCATCGATAAACGGTGGTTATCCGTGTCGTAGTAGCTTGACGGATGATTTTAGTTCTGTGATGGGATGCTGGGTGATTTTTTATTTTTCTCTTTTCGTCTTCCTGTATTTTCCAAATCCTCTCAAATGAACATGTAGCACTTTTATAATCAGAAAACAACCACAAGCAGGTAGAGTTGCAGGCCGTGAGCACTGTGGAGTTTCTTCCCGTGTCTCCTTACAGTCTGCAAGATGAACGTTCACCGCCGCTGCGAGACCAACGTGGCCCCCAACTGCGGCGTGGACGCCAGAGGAATCGCCAAGGTGCTGGCTGACCTGGGCGTCACTCCCGACAAAATCACCAACAGCGGCCAGAGGAGGAAAAAGGTAACGCTGCCCGGCCGTGTTCTGGAGCTCCGGGGTCCGCGTCTCTGCGCCGGCCCCTGGGAGTGCCTGGGAGTGAGGTCACCGGGCTGCTGGCCTGCGACACTGCGCTCAAAGCAGCACATGCTTGAAAAACCAGAGGCAGGCAGGTAACATTAGTCTCCTTCGGTCCCAGAGGGGGGGCCGAGCAGACCTCAAGTGTTAGTTCCTCGGGGGAACGTAAACCTTGAGAGGAGGACTTTGGAATCGCCTCTAGAAAGAGCAGGGCGGCTCTAGGCAGGGAAGGAGCCGAGTCTGCCTGCAGAACCGCATGAAAGCGATGCCCGTGTTTGAACTTCGCCTCCTGTCCCTGTGATGAGACGATAAAGGGGTGAAGAGCTGGGGCCACATTCTTTCCTAGGGAGCAAGCCAAGCAGATCCGTGGTCGGGCCAGCACTCGGCGGCCCCAGGGACATTGTTAATGCCCCAAGACATGAAGCCTCGGGGCTTCTCTTTGGAGACCAAAGCCCTGTCTCTCTCCTCGTGACATTCTGAATGTCAGTCGGAAGAGATCCATTTGCTAAAATGTCGCTTTGGTAAGTCAAGGCCCACAGATGGGAGTAGAGCTCAAGGCAGCCACCGCGTTTTGTTCAAAGGCCCTCTTTACCCTTGGCTGCTCACCTAGAAAACGTAAGTGATCTTCGAAAAAGGAAGTTGCGACGAAATCAGAACCAACTCAGCCAGGCAGGAAATCCTGGTGGAGGCGGGTGGGCCGCGGCCCTCATTGCCCAGCCTCAGGCATCCTCAGGCTTTTACTGGAAAAGCAGGTCTAGCTCTGGGTGCCTCTCCAGGCCTTGCTCCTAAATGTTGCTTGTAAATTTTGCTGTAAAATGCCTTCTGAAGGGCTCTGTGTTTCCCTTCTCGTTTTAGAAGCTGCCCATGCCTTTTCCCTGGTGCCTCTCAGAAGAGCCTTCTCCCTTGAATGGGAAGGTGTGGATTGTTTTCATTTTCTTAAACTGTTTCTTCTCTCCCTTCCCAATCAACAAAGCTGTTTTGCAAGGGTTGCAGAAATGAAGCCTATTTTAATGGTTAACTGTGACGATATTCCATACTTCTGGTGGCTCTTCTCAGCTCTCTACATCCCAGGGGTTGAAACAGGACTTAAGTTATTGACCAAGGCGTTGAAATTGCAAGCCGAATGTCAGCGCCCAAGAGTGCTAGGGCCCCACTGGAGAGGCAGGTTATGGAAACTCCTTGTGAGGACAGTGTTGGACACACACACGTCGATGAGCTCTAGACAGAGCCATTTTCAGAAGACACGGGTATTTTTCCAATTGAGACAGAATCTTTATTGTCATGAAGCATTTAAAAGAAAACTCAGCACCTGCCTTCTCCCCCATATTCACATGGGCTATAATGCCTTGAATTTGGGGAACCTGGTGGTAAGAGGCCAACCTGGAGAAATTCAGGCAGAAGCAGAGTAGAAGCCTAAGGGAGCTCAGTCCTGTTATTTTTATTGCTGCAATGCTTCCAGTGCAAAAGCTGGAAAAAGCCAACTGAACTAAATAGAAGCTCAAGTTTGTATGAGAGGATGGGAGACAGTTGCCCTTGGTCAGAAGCTAACAGGGCTTCTTTTCAGGGGTGTCAGGCTTGCTGGAGCTTGTGTTCCCTTCATATTGCCCCTGGCAAGTAGTCAGTCCATCCCCAGAAAGGACGTGCGCACACAGTTGGTAGGCTGCGAGGAAAAGGGAACAGAAGTGCTTGTGGTCTCTTAGTCCAAACCTCTGACTTTAATCGAACTGAAAATGGATATGCCACCATTTGTGTAGAAACTAGAGTTCACTGGGAGTGTTCTGTTAAAATAAACTTTGCCAACAAATATCAGTACATCTGAAAGTATTTACTGGGCGTCTATTATGCGTAGCATTTTCTGTAAGTCACCAGGGGCAATACTAATACCATACTGCAGGAAACCACTAGTCTACCGAAGTAGAGAGCCCCACACAACATACACATACAGATATTAATGAAAGCTGAACACGAGATGAGTAAATGCCAAGCTGGTGCTAGGACAGGAAGCGTCACATTGCTTTGGGTGCCTGGACAGGCGAGAGAGATTTTATGGAAGTGGGTGTGCTTGAGCTGTGCTTGGAAAGGTCAGTTGTATTTGGACAGAATAATAATTGAACAAACTGAAGTCTCTTGTTTCCTTCCCTCTAATTGGCAAATGAAACCACAAAGAAAACCTCAAGACTGTGCATTTGGACTATCAATTCAGAAGTGTCCCTGTGCCCCAGGAGCCCCTCTGGTGCGGGTGTGGGACTGTGAAGCTTTGACCTCAGGGAAGCTGGCCGCCCGCCCTTCTGATGTCTCTCTCCCGTCTCCCCCCCTCTAGCTCCTCGCCGGTGCGGAGTCCCCGCAGCCTGCTTCTGGAAGCTCACCTTCTGAGGAAGATCGGTCCAAGTCAGCACCCACCTCCCCTTGTGACCAGGGTGAGACCCTCNCTTCTCAGCTCTCTACATCCCAGGGGTTGAAACAGGACTTAAGTTATTGACCAAGGCGTTGAAATTGCAAGCCGAATGTCAGCGCCCAAGAGTGCTAGGGCCCCACTGGAGAGGCAGGTTATGGAAACTCCTTGTGAGGACAGTGTTGGACACACACACGTCGATGAGCTCTAGACAGAGCCATTTTCAGAAGACATGGGTATTTTTCCAATTGAGACAGAATCTTTATTGTCATGAAGCATTTAAAAGAAAACTCAGCACCTGCCTTCTCCCCCATATTCACATGGGCTATAATGCCTTGAATTTGGGGAACCTGGTGGTAAGAGGCCAACCTGGAGAAATTCAGGCAGAAGCAGAGTAGAAGCCTAAGGGAGCTCAGTCCTGTTATTTTTATTGCTGCAATGCTTCCAGTGCAAAAGCTGGAAAAAGCCAACTGAACTAAATAGAAGCTCAAGTTTGTATGAGAGGATGGGAGACAGTTGCCCTTGGTCAGAAGCTAACAGGGCTTCTTTTCAGGGGTGTCAGGCTTGCTGGAGCTTGTGTTCCCTTCATATTGCCCCTGGCAAGTAGTCAGTCCATCCCCAGAAAGGACGTGCGCACACAGTTGGTAGGCTGCGAGGAAAAGGGAACAGAAGTGCTTGTGGTCTCTTAGTCCAAACCTCTGACTTTAATCGAACTGAAAATGGATATGCCACCATTTGTGTAGAAACTAGAGTTCACTGGGAGTGTTCTGTTAAAATAAACTTTGCCAACAAATATCAGTACATCTGAAAGTATTTACTGGGCGTCTATAATGCGTAGCATTTTCTGTAAGTCACCAGGGGCAATACTAATACCATACTGCAGGAAACCACTAGTCTACCGAAGTAGAGAGCCCCACACAACATACACATACAGATATTAATGAAAGCTGAACACGAGATGAGTAAATGCCAAGCTGGTGCTAGGACAGGAAGCGTCACATTGCTTTGGGTGCCTGGACAGGCGAGAGAGATTTTATGGAAGTGGGTGTGCTTGAGCTGTGCTTGGAAAGGTCAGTTGTATTTGGACAGAATAATAATTGAACAAACTGAAGTCTCTTGTTTCCTTCCCTCTAATTGGCAAATGAAACCACAAAGAAAACCTCAAGACTGTGCATTTGGACTATCAATTCAGAAGTGTCCCTGTGCCCCAGGAGCCCCTCTGGTGCGGGTGTGGGACTGTGAAGCTTTGACCTCAGGGAAGCTGGCCGCCCGCCCTTCTGATGTCTCTCTCCCGTCTCCCCCCCTCTAGCTCCTCGCCGGTGCGGAGTCCCCTCAGCCTGCTTCTGGAAGCTCACCTTCTGAGGAAGATCGATCCAAGTCAGCACCCACCTCCCCTTGTGACCAGGGTGAGACCCTTGGATTTGCTTCTTTGTCTCTGAGCCTGGTCACTGGAGGTTCCAGGAGCTGAGGCCTCCCTGCCCAAGTCTGGCCTTACGTCATCTGAAACTGCCGGTGGCCCTGTTGACTCATTAGCTGTTCTTAAGCTCTGCAAGGCACTGAATACCTGTTTGCCTTAGATCCTTTCCAGGCCTGAGTAAGGGAGGAGGAGCACTTTGAGGCTGTGGGGTCTTTTTCCCTGGTTCTGGGTGTAGGAGAGGGAGGAATACAGCCCCTTTTCTTACCACTTAGCCCCACTGTCTGCCTCCAGGCCTGTCAGCATCGCTCAGCTTAGTTTGATTTTGTTCCTCTAGACTCTAAGCCTCTCACCCAAAACCTGAGATCAGGGCAGGAGTGGCCAGGGTGGGTGGCTGGGGATAGGGCGAAGCTGGGGAAGAGGCTGCAGGCAGTGGGCAGGACGCCAGCCCTGAGCCTCACTCTCCTCTGCAGCTCAGCTCAGGCCGTCTCCTTCCCCATAGCGGTAAGTTAGAGTGATCAGAGGTTTCTGATCTGCAGCCAGAGTGGTAAGGCTGAGGAGGGACTTACGCATTCCCAACCTTCCCCTCTGGTGAAAACCAGCGGCCAGTGGGAAGGGAGGCGCGTATCTGCAGAGCAGGACTAATCGTGTTGAATTACAGCGCCCTGATTTTGTGTAGCCCCTTTTCGAGTCATTACCCAGATTTCATGCTCACTCCAGCTCTATGCTCCTTTACTGTCCCCATGTCACAGGGTGGGAAGTGGAAGTTAGAGCTTGAAAAGGTTTGTCCAAAGGTCAGGACCTAGGCCAGTGGTAAGGGCGAGATTATGCCCCTCCTGGGTTAGGGACCCCACTCTCAGAGTCTGTGCCTTCAAACCCTCCTCGCAGGTCATCACTGCCACCCAGCTTTTCTTACCCCGAGTAAATAAAACAGCTGCAGAGGCAGGGCGGGCCCGTCCTGAGGCCACAGAGTAATCGGTCTGAGTCTCTCCATGCCGCCCTGGCTAACTTCCTGCAGTGTATACTGTGTGTCACTCCAAAAGAGGCTTAACACACTTGTGAGTCACCTGACGATGCTCGGTGACCTTCAGGTGAGCAGACACCGTCCTGGACCAGTGGGGGTGTTTTCATGTTTCCCTTTTTATGCTGAGACCTCCTTTGGGGACTTCAAGGAGATGGGGTCCTATGGTAAGGGGACCCTAAGTAAGGGGGAGGTGGCCAGGCTTCTAGGCCTGGCTCCTGCCCAGTGTGCCGTCCAGTCGTGGCAGGGTGCAGTACCTCGCAGGGCCTCTCTGTCCCCAGTTAACGCAGGCGCCAGTATCACCAGCAGTGACGTGAGCACGGGTGAATGTGAAAACCCGCTCAGCAACACGTGGCCTTATTACAAAACAGAAATAAGACATGATTTCTCTTTCCTCCACTGTAAGAACATAGACATTTTCTTCAAGCTTTAGTATCCCTGAACACCCAAGTTCTATCTTCCAAAATCCATTTAATAACTTGCCTTGGAAACTGAGACTTTTTGCTCTGCGCTGAGACTAAAGTTATACTTAGTTTAAGAGTATGTGGTAGGAAACTGCTGATTTGGTGGGGGGCTATCAGTAGGCTCAGAAGCTCTCCTCTTCTCAGGGGAGCCGACACCAGATCTGCGAAAGATCTCCAGGTCCCTTGACTGAGCTCTCATGGGCCTCAGTCTTCTGAAAAGAAGCTGAAGATCTCTTTATGTCAAGCAGCACCTGATTGCTCATCCTGATTCCGATTCCCACAGGTTAAGAGTCTGTGTTCCCCTTCTGTAATTCCAGTTTTGTTCACAAGTGTCTTAAAATTGGATTATGCTCAGATGCCCATTTCTACACAGAGGAATGTGTGTCTTGGTGAGTTGATAGCAACCAGTAAAGCCTCCTCAAGGAGAAAAGGTCAAAGGATCAGCCGGCATCCTCACCCTCAGGGTGATGTTGTTTTCAATATCAGTCTTGCGTCCCTCCAGTCTCACCATTGTGAAATAATACTGAGAATCCCCACCCCATCTGAGATACATCTGCAGCATGTCACTTCAGGGAAGCAATTCTTTGGTTAAGATAAGCTCCTTGTTTGTTTTGTTAAATAACCTTGCATGAGATGGGTATTTAGAGTAAACACAGCAACAAAGCCATCTAAGTAAAGTCCTTTAGAAGGTGAAATAATTTGATGGCCAAGATTACTGTGAAGACAGTTCTCAGGGAGTCGTTACTCTGATCTTCAAAGGAAACTCGAAGGTTATCCATGGCCTTTGGGTCTCTGCAGGGTTCCAGAGAAGGCTGGGATTCCTGCACTAACCAAGAATAATTGGATAGTGTCCACCTCCCCTGTACATGCCCAGGCCCTGCTGTACATTAGGTGCCAGTGAAAGTGTGCAGAGCAAGTGAAGGAACATAAGGGAAGCCACGCTGGAGCTGTTGCTATGATGAGCCAAAAAGGGGCTGCGAGCTCATGGGGGTGAAATTCTGAGTTGAGTCCTCATGGGAAGGGCTCGTGGGGTGTGCACTAAAGCAATATCTTGTCTCCCTTGGCCCTAGAATTAAAAGAACTTGAAAACAACATCCGGAAGGCCTTGTCATTTGACAACCGAGGGGAGGAGCACAGGGCGGCGGCATCCACGGACGGCCAGCTGGCGAGCCCCGGCGAGAATGGTGAAGTCCGGCAAGGCCAGGCCAAGCGCTTGGGCCTGGACGAGTTCAACTTCATCAAAGTGTTGGGCAAAGGCAGCTTTGGCAAGGTCTGTGGCCTTTGTGGGTAGAACTGCTGGTTTTTTCTCTGCCCCGTGGCATCTGTGCCCTCATTTGTGTGATGTAAGATGAAGCGATGAACCTCCCAGCCTGGTCTGTTATATTTTCCTTCCTTATTGAGTGGAAGTGGCCTGAGGTCCAGTAGATAGGAGCTGGGTTCTGCTCTTAACTGGCTGTGGGACTTTTACCTCTTTGGGATTCAGTGTAGCCCACTTGTCAATTGGGGACAGGAATCAAGTGACCTAGCGGTGCAAAGGCACTTTGAAAAGTTTAAATTACTTTACGTGTGCTTGGCATTTCATTATGGGTAATAGTAACATGTTTCTTCCCTCCTTCAGTGAATCATCTGAAATTCTGGTTTTAATTCATCACAGACTTTGAAAATGAACTCCAGAATGCGTGCCCTCAGTGAACTTAGGGCTCTAAACGGATCTTAGCATGTGTTACTGTGGAAGTTACTTTTCTGGCACTTACTAAACGTTTTGTTTGTGGCAAGAGAATGGGAATAGTCACCTCATTTCTTGGATCAGGGCCTTCTGCCCTTGGTGACATCCTCCCTATCCTGCTCCCCAGAGGCGCACACAGTGGTATGGGGCATAGATGCAGAGGGTGCTCAAGTAAAGCATTCCTGGCGCAGCCACTATTCTGAAGGGGGGGTGAGATGGAAAAATAATTCCTGTTCATTTCAGAAAACAGAAGGGCAGAGAGCCCAGGAAGCTGGTTAACATTTTAGCTGTGATCTCTGACTGTTTGGCCCTCCGGCTCTTCGCAAATCCATGCCTGGGAGTGGATGGGCGTTGTCTTTCAAGGACGTCCCGGAGCAGAGAGGCCCTGCCCTGGAGCCCAGGCACCTGCCTCAGGACCTCCCAGGGATCACATGCCCTCATGAGTCAGCCTGTGGGTCAAGAGGCTTAAGGGACAGAGACACTCTAGTCTAAGAGAATGGCTCTGTGAACCCCCAGGGTACAGGGCCTGGTTCCTGGCCCATCTCACCTGCCCCACCTCAGTCTGAGATCAATGCTGCAGGAAGGTAACTGGATCTACTTAAATGGCAAAGGCTGAAGTAATCACATTCTTTAGAGACTAAGTAGGAAGCAGACCCTAGTCCTCTGTCCCTTAACTCTAGGAGGTGAGCAGGTTTCATTGTGAGCAAGATTCATGGGAAACAAGCAGTCTCAAAGTCTCCAGGTTTCCATATGGTGTGTGTGGGCAGGGTGGGAACTTTGATGACTCTGGAGCATTTAGATTGTTTCTTAAGAAAAACCACAAAGTGAGCCAGTTTGAAAGAGTTTGCATTTTATGTGGGCAGCTAAAGGTCTTCAAGTTAGCATCCTGAATTCCTTTATTGAGCTGAGTTACTGCTCTTTAGTCCTAACAACTTACCCTGGAACTGTACCGAGGAGTTAGTTGTTGAATGGGAGAAAGGCTGTCACATTATAGGGAACTGGGTGCAAAAATATCAGATGATAAAAAGAACTTTAAGAAACAGAACTCTTCACTTGTTCTCTGGAGAAGGAATCACACTCCTAGCTTTAAAACTATAGAAGAAACCACAAAGGGAAACAGGGGCAGACTCAACTACATAAAGATAAATGATCCTGTTTAATAGGAAAAAATAACAGAAAATTATAAAACAAATTTAGAAAAACCTTTACAGAAAGTGAACTGTCAGTATATTTATGTACCAAGCTCATACAAATATGTAAGAGGAAACTGAAAATACACAAAAGAAATTTAATTAGAAAAACAAATATTTAAAAAGTTTATTGCAAGTTGAAACAGCATTGAGGTAACATTTCACACCCATTACATGAACAACATAACTTTTTAAGTGAGAGCACCCAATGTTGGTAAATCACCATGAAACTAAAGCACTTCTCCAGTGCCAGTGGCAGGTTATATTGTACATCCTTTTTGAAAGGATGTGCAAATATTTAACCCTATAACCTACTTCTAACACTCTATCTTGAGGATATGATCCAAAAGAAAGGAAAAAAGTTATATGTACATAAATACTCCCTGCAATTTTTATATAACACTTAATAATTTCATGTAACTCAAGTGTCTAATAGGAGGTAAAAGGTTAAATAAATTGTAATATAGTTACTTGAATTATCAGAAACCATGATCATTATTAGACTGTGTAGAAAAATGCTTATGAAATACTGTTCGGTTAAAAAACGCTATACTATATTTACTGCACTCTAGCGGCAAGGATGGCAAGTGTATATGGATGTATGCGTAATTACCTAACAGAGGCGATTGAACTTTTCTTTGCCCAGACACTGTGCTAGAGAGAAAAATATAAATGAACGGTAGCAGCTGTATTGGGATGAGTAGTTTTTCTAAACATTTTTAAGGCTATCATACTATTTAAAGTGGTAGAAAGAAAGGAGTCAGGTCAGTTGAGCATTGACCTAGGATCCAGGAGATCGGGGTTCGATTCCCGGTCAGGGCACAGGCCCGGGTTGCGGGCTCCATCCCCAATGGGGGGCGTGCAGGAGGCAGCCGACCAATGACTCTCTCATCATTGATGTTTCTCTCTCTCTCTCCCTCCCTTCCTCTCTCTGAAATCAATAAAGATGATCATAGGTGATAGATAGATGATGATAGATAGATAGATGATAGATAGATAGATAGATAGATAGATAGATAGATAGATAGATAGATAGATGATAGATAGATAGATAGATGATAGACAGATAGATAAAAAGAGAAAGGAGTCCGTTTTGAAGCGCTGGGCGTTGGCTCGTGTTTCTTCCCCTGCGTGTAGACACTGACCGAGTGGTTGATTAATCGCAGGTCATGTTGGCGGAGCTCAAAGGCAAAGACGAAGTCTATGCTGTGAAAGTTTTGAAGAAGGACGTCATCCTCCAGGACGATGACGTTGACTGCACCATGACAGAGAAGCGGATCTTGGCTCTGGCGCGGAAACACCCGTATCTAACCCAACTCTATTGCTGCTTCCAAACCAAGGTATGCTTAGGAGGAAGCTGGGGGCTCACCGTCTTGGGGCAGCGCTGGTGGGCATAGGGTACCTTAACTGTCAGATGACAAATCAGTCGCAGACCCTCTACCTTCTTTCTCAAAAGCCTTGTGAAGTGGGATGGATTTTACCCTGGAAAAGATCAAGGTGCCTTTGAAGGGCATCCTCTTGCTTGAAGGCGTGGGGTTTTCCACTCAAGGCTGTGCTTGTGAGGGGGTGGGAGAGCCGCAGAACTCTTTGCGGATGTATCTGGACAAAGTCAAATGACTAAACCCGGTGTTTGCTCCTGAGAGAAACCAACAGGTGTGGTTAGTCCTCGCTCTGCTCGTAACTTGCTGTCTCTACACAGATCACTAAAGCTCTGTGTTGTTTTCAGGTCAAATGAAAAGCAAAGGCCCCCCTAACCGCTCCTAACTTGCATAATGTCATGCAAGGTAAAGCATGTAAACAAGTGCTTAAAATGCCACAGTGAAATGCAGATATGGGTGGCATTTTAAATTTATCACGTAGGACCTTGCAGCCAGAAGGTGGCAGTAGAGAAACAAAGATAATCTGTAACCAGGTTGCGGAGTCTCACCTCCGATTGAGTTGTTACTTATCCTGAGTGAGGAAGGGAAATGCCAACGTGCTTTATGAAGCTCTCATTAGGGAAAAAAACAGTTGAAGTTTTTTAGGTTGCCTTATGGATTTATAACCCTTGGCTCCTTGAAAAGGCGAAGGCAACTGCCCCTGAAACTCTTACCTGTGCCCAATTGGGGCCCAGGCAGTGAAGGGCGCCATCCTGGAGAGACAAGTCCTTGCTCCGTGGCATCCTCTCACCTCCATGTCATTGTGAATACCAGTCTTTCCACTTAGAATTCAACCGTTACTCATTTGGGTCACTTGGCAGATTTTTAGTTATGTTATATTGAATCATTCCCTTGTGCCAGGTGCTGGAGATACAGTGGTGAGCCAGGCACGGTCCCTGACTTCAGGGAACTTACAGTCTCTTTGCCACACTATTTCCCAAAGGGTATTTCTCAGAACCCTCCTCGTTTGAGAAACTCTAAGGATGAAGGACTCTGTGGCCCATAGTTTGGAAACTGCAATCTTGACCTCTCTTGGAGTATCTCAGTATACATTTACTTATTAAAGTCCCTGAGGAAACCTGCAATGAAAAAAAAAGTGATTAGCTTTATTTAATCTGCTATTTCCCAATTATTTGATCCCAGACTCCTCCCCACCTTTCCACACTGAGAACCACATCTAATGGAATTTTTCCAGTCCCTCTGATCCCTCAGGTGAATATCTGGAAATCTCTTTTCTGATCAAGGACAGGACTTATATTGGCTATCCTTGTTTTCAATGTGTGTTATGTAACGCCAAAGATTTGTGGGCCTGAGCATTTGTGTGTATATCAAAGCCCAACATGATAATAGAGGATCCATCTCGAGGTCAACTTTCTTCTTTTCCCCACTTGAGCATAATTCTAGATTAATGAGAAATGTATCCGATATTCCTTTATCTCCCATGGCATCTTCCTAGGGCCCCACCCCTGCTAGGTGTTCACTGACATCCCAGTCTGGCTGTGAGACCCGTGTCCCTGGTACCGCTTGGGAAGTCACCATGGAGGGTCAGCTGCCCTTGCCGCTCGGGGAGTGAGGGGGAGTGAGGAGGGACCAGCAGTGTTCTTCTCAGAACACTTTAGAATAGCAAGGCCGACCCTCCTCATCATGTGGCAGCTTTTGGAGCACAAGGTGGTGTTCAGTGGCACCATGGGTTTCCTTTATGGAAAATAATAACCAAACTGACGTGGAGATTGGGGTCTGGGTGGCTGGAGGGTGAGGCTGGGGAGAGACTTTCCTCTGTGGTTCAGAGATTTACTAACTCTTCCTCAGGCCACTGTCTGGCAGCCACAGCTACTGGGGCAACTTTGTCCCATGCCACCATTAGTCAGCAGAACACAGCACACACCTCACTCTGCACAACAGATACATGTGCATCTGGTTTTCCTAAAGCGAATCACATTTAACCTCACCCGAGGACCTTCACTTACTAATGAAAGGAATGTTATGAAGAGTCATTTCAAACACCTCGAACTGAACTTCTAGAAAATGTGACTTTTTGATTTCATGACAACAATAGTCATGGTTTTAAAGAGTAGCTGTTTTTCACCTGACTTTGAGGTAGGTGCTGGATGTGGGGTTATCAGCAAAAAGGAAAATGATTCTCAAGTGGAGGGGCATATTCAGTAAGGAATGGGGAGGTTATAATACTTTCCATAAGCAAACGGCGCAGCTGACAGCATTGCGTAGTTACATTGTGGGTGGGGCGCTCCGAGCAGGGGACTTGGAGGCGAGGGTGCTTTTAGTGCCTCCAGAGGGGAAGGAGCTCAAGCCCAGGTCTGAAGGGTGGAGAGGACTGGGCTGGGAATGGGAGCTGGGCTCAGTGGCCATAGCTCAGTCCTGCTTTAGTTTGACTTTTCCTGAAAAGAAAGGTCTATTCATCTGAGCTACCATGAACCTGGTTTCAACTAAAACTCTGAACATGATGAAGGAACAGAAGGCCCGGTTGCAATCCTATCGAGATCTCTTGCCTTCTTTAATTTAGACACACAGAGCATTGGTAATGTTAAGTCAGGTTTAGTTATTTTAGATGAGCCTTTATGTTTCAGTTCAAAGGACCAAAACAGCCTCCATGGAAAATTCCTGATAGACCGCACATAGCTTCTGCTTACTACACAGGTTGCCTCCGGCACTGGAACTGTGTGAGGTGCGGGTACCAGGTCCGGTGGGACTGAGGGCAGCGATTGTGCAAACCGACGGCATCAGTCATGAAGTCAGGTCACAGGTTAGTTCTGGTCACTACCGCCCACGAATGACTGAGTTACAGTTAAAGAGGGATTTGCCTTTTCTGTGCCAAGCTCAGCTGCCCTGAGCTCATTGTACTCTGATCGTTCTCTGTGGGATCTGGAAGGAAAAAGGCCAGTGAAATGGTAGCTTTCTAGGGCTAGTGAGAAAAGGCAGAGAGGCCAATAAATTTAAGTGAATGATATTAATTTTAATCAAATTTAGACCAGTGTTTGACTTGAGTTTTCACTATGCTGTGTGTCTTTGGGATGCTAGAATAAACTGAAACAACTAGGGAAAGCTATAAAGTTGTATTTAATTAACTACCAAATGTATGGGCTGAAGGGGATAGAGGACTTCTGACCAACCTCATTTCTCTCAGGTTATCTCTTACAACTGAAAAACCTTGGGCATAATTCTTATTTTAAAGGGCATTGTGCTCATCAAGACTGACATAGCCATAAAGAATTATAGAAGTTGTACTACCTGTTGATGTGCATGGGAAACCAAAATTTTCATATTTAACAGTGCCAGATGATTAAATGAATGGTGTTAAATTAGCAGCAGTGTTTAATATTTTCATACATACATACATGTTTCTTGGTTAGGAAAAAAAAAGTATGGCCTGTAATTATTTCAATGAATGTACACATATTTATTGAGCATCTGTTACATGTCAGACACTGTTAGATTCTGGGGCTACAACGCTCAACACTCAAAAGATACTAACTAAGCTCATGGAGGTTACTGTCTGGTGGGGAGAAAGACACACAAAGAGTGACATTCTATAGCATGGTAGCTCTTCTAATGGAGCCACTTAGGTGATTCCTTTGAAGCTCTGCTGGAGGTAGTTTGGAAGGCTTCCTGGAAGAGGTGGAATCTAACCTGGACCTTAAAGCATGGGAAGCACTTGGGAGAGGATATAGGCCAAGAGATGGCTCATGAGACCTAGAACTTATCCCGAAATCTCATTTTCATTATTTTTCCAAAGCTAGAACCCACAACTCATTCCTTGTGCTGCTTCCTCCAAGGAAACGACAATGGCTGAACAAGGAAGGAGAGGAAGGAAGGCAGGGTATTTGCAAAATAAGGAGATTCCTGCGTCTGCAGCTCAGATGCTGGCCTGTGGAGAGGGGAGGGTGACGCTAGGAGGCTGCTTGGCTGAGCTGGGCGCTCAGCTGGGCTCTGAAAGTTACCGGCGGTGAACCAGGCCTTAGGGGAGGAGTGACTTCAGGAACTGCCCCTTTGGGGTTCCCATTCTCCTAGGGATAGGAGAGCCCCTGAGTGGTAGGTTTGTTTTGCTTTTGTTTTTATAGTTACAGGAAATAAAATTCTCAGGCGTTTTTAGATTCTGTGTATGATCCCTGTTGTGAATCTCTTCCAACTGGATCCCATAAAACCTGACTTGAATAAATTTATCCACGACTTTTCCTCTTTAATATTAATCTCCCCCAGTCACCCCCTCCCCCACTCTTTGGCATTTCCCACCAGGCCTGGGAAGCCAGCGCAAGGAGGGCTTGGCCTGTGCAGGAAACCGGGCGCGCTCCTGGGGAGTCGCCCTGGGCCGGCCGCCCTCGCTGCCCTGGGGGAAATGCAGGGTGGAAAAATCCTTAAAAAGCAACTAGACGCATTTTTCAAATGAGTTTTAGTCATCGGTATGAGCATGGGGTAAGAACTGCTGAGGAGTGTTGATAATTCAGGAAAACTTGCAGTTTTAAGGAACTCTAATGTATATTTTAACCATTGACCGAAGAACAGCAATCAAGAAAGAAAAAACAAACACAAAAAAGAGGAAGTAAAAAATTAGGCCTTTGGTAGATTTTTGTTAAAAAAAAAAAGTTGATTATGTCAGATTAAATCTAAAAGAGCCAGGAAAGCAGTCGAATGAAACGTGGGTCTCTTTCCTCTGGACACACCGTCTGCCGCAGCGCGGCGTCCGAGGGGCTGGGTTCTGTGGGATTTGGTGAGCACCTACTGTGTGCCGTGCCATGGGCGTCCTGGGCGACATGCGTCCTGCCGAGGGATTTGGTGTTGAACAAGGTAGTTATTTCCTGGCCTCACAGGAACGTGCCTATTGCTCCACAGTGTGAGGGATGCTGGCCTCTGTCTCGTGCCCAGGACTCATTTCTTTGTTTTCCTTCAGAAACTGTTGACCTTGGCTT